AATAGAAGATTCTTAATTTATTTTTATCCCGGAAAAAGCTTGGCCTTATAACCAGGTCTCCTTTCGCCTTGACAGCGGGGCCTGGAAGTACCTTCACCTCAGTATCAGAAGCAACATCTCCTAGTGGACAGTTGTACAAATACACCAAATAGTAAATCCATAACTCTCATCTGTATATCACAGGGTCGCTACAGAGACAGCAACACGACCGAATTTGTAGGGAACAGTAGGAAACAGCAGGAGCACACGCGGAACCTCGTTCCCTGACATGTTCAAGTACACCAAAATTGACCAAATACATAACTCTGATCTGTATATCACAGGGACGCTGGACCCAGTTTCCAGACCAGGTGCAGCTCCCCACCAATAGATGGAGCCTTGTACACAGGGAGTCAGTTAACGAGGATGCTCATATCACCTCGTCAAGTGGACCACCCGGACCTGAAGTTTCAAAAAAAAAAAAAGAAAAGAAAAAAAAAAAAGAAAAGAGAAAGAAAAAGACAGACTACCATGATTTGGACTCGATGTAAGATACACAACTGCCAAATGAACTCAATGCGTGAGGCTTTTTGATCACAGTGGACGCATCGAGTACATGGCGTGCAACACCAGTGTCGCGATGGTTGCGGGTTGGTAAGAACGCACAAGTATCACGATGGTTGGGAGACTCAGCTTCATGTGCGCTCAGTAGAATCAGGCACGAAACAAAAGGTGAGCACACATGGTTGGGAACCCCCCAGGACCTGCCAACCTCTCTCCGTAAAGTAAATTCCTCACAAACGAACAAGAAAAAGTGATGAAAGACTTTGTAGTACCAATGATCTGCGGGGACTTCCAGGAGGGGATTGTATTTCTGACATACAACAAAGTGCATGGAACCATCAGTGAGAAGTTACTGAGAACACAAAATTTCCAAGTGCCAAAGTCAAAAGGAGACTGAAAGGATAACCATCGTATATGAGCAAAGTGTCAAAGTCAAAGTCAAAAGTAGAATTACAAAGTCAAGAGGACATCCAATGAGCACAACACTGACACCGAAGTCTCTTGATGAAGAAGGCTCGACTTCTCGCCACCTCTCATCAAGACAGCAACAATGTCCTATTTCTTCATTGACGTGACAACCTCTACCTTCCTACGCTCTCACTACACACAGCCTACTCTCCCTCTCGTCCCTCCCTCTTGCTCTCTGTCCTCTCATTCACTACACACAGCCTAGTCTGTCTCACTCTTCTCTCCCTCTTCCTCTGTGTCCTCCAAAGCTGGACATGCTGGTCTACAATTCACGTGTTTTTTTTTCGTTAATAGTTGTATGAATTTAAAAAAAAAATGCTTTTGGAAGCTGCGTGGATGAAGCTGCGTGGATGCAATGTAAGCTGGCAGTCCAACAACATATAAATTAGTGTCGTTGGCACTTGCACCAGACTTGCTGTATAAATGGCCATGGCTCTATGGCAGTCTCACACACACACACACACACACACACACACACACACACACACACACACACACAGAGAGAGAGAGAGAGAGAGAGAGAGAGAGAGAGAGGGCATGTTTGGTGGATCGGTATGTGTTGAGATGGTCCACATGATGACCCTATTGGAGCTACCCTGTTGCCACGTGAGGGTAAGAGGGGCAAACCGTATTGAAGTCATGTGCCAGCAGGGGTATATCGAAAACTTCACCAGTCCGGGCCGCCCGTAGTACTGGGGCATTTCGGTAGGGGTAAACAGAAAAGATCATAGGTGCAACCAATGCCAGGGGCATTCTGCAAATTTCAGCCAGTCTGAGAAGGGCGTTCTGCTCTACCCAGGGATTTTGGGGGCATTTTAGCATTTCAATCATCGTTGAGGGGCATAACGCAAAGTGCACCTTTCTGTGTTGTTTTTCTGAGTGAGGCTTTTTATTTCCTTGAAATAACTGCTTTTCGTTTTCTTGAAATAACTACGCGGGAGTGCGGTGTTGAGTTTCGAATTCGCAGGAATAACAGGGCACTGCAGGTCGAGCCCGAGGGCAGTTAGAAACTGCAAAAAAGAACGGCTTTGTGCACTTCCTTTATATATATATATATAGTAGAGGGTGGATGCTAGGCCTCGGCAGCTGCCTGTTGTCGTACTCAACCAGTGAGGGGATCAGATGGCTTGTGCCAACCCCAGGGACACTATTTCTCCAGGGGGTATCATTCGTGAGTCGTGACCTGTTATATCCTAATCTTATCGCAAGTCGAGCCCTATAGCGTTGCGAGCCAGACCTCTCTATCTAGACCTAGACCTACACCACCCCACACCTTCCGAGGAGCCACAGACACCCCGGGTGCTACCATAGGGACACCCCGAATCCTCGAGGACGCCCCGGATACAGGCTAGGTGAACCTGTAGCACATAGTGCAGACTCTATGGGTAGCGCAGCCACCCCTCTACGTTCAGTGCGACAACCCTCCCGTCCCTGCCTCAGATTACACCCTTGCCTAGAAACCCTTCCCCAGACTCACGCCCCAACTGAACCCTCAATGGGAACTCGGACAGGTACCAACCCGGATGAAGCCCAGCCCCACAAGCATCGTAAGATCATCCTGAAGCCCGCCCGTGGGAATCGTAAATGCCTATCACCCAACCACTACCACTATTCAAGGGTGTGTTCAGAGAGCGGGGTCTACCTGGGACGCAGGATCATACAATGTAGGTATGGACTCTCGTGGGTGGACCATGAGGCTGGGAAACAACCATGGTACCCAATCACACTCAGTCTCTTCCACAGAGCAGCCCATACGAACGAGGCGGCGCACACAAACAGGCCCACAGACCCCACACAATGTCCTATCTACCCATTCCCCCCTCCCACCTATCTAGCTACCCAGTCCAAGCCCTATCTACCACGTGTATCCCCCCCAATCTACCCCCCCCGTGATGAGTATACGAGACATACCTAGAGATCATCGGACCACACTCAATGCACAGCCCACACACAGACACTCAACACTCATCAGACCCCCAAAGGTCAGCCACTCAAACAGTCCTCCCCCCAAAGCTCGCTACCAGCATACTACAATCATGGACCTAACCCCTTGGGTGGTGCGCAGGCGGTGTCTGTAATAAGTACCATGTGTCAGCCCAAGGGGGGTGTGCAAATGGCTGGGTGCTATGAAAGCGCCTAACGGCGGACATGCGCAAGGCTGCAGAGTTTTGAGCCTGCGACCTGATACCACAGTGCGCATTTCCAGCCGGTGGAAATTCGAAAGTGGCAAAATCAGGCAACCACTCATTGTTGCTTTTTTTTTTTTTTTTCATGCCCTTGTCAGGTGGCCACTCATTGTTGCTTTTTTTGTTTTTTTTTTTGTTTTTTTTTTTTTTTCCACGCCGGTGACAAGGCCACGGTCGAGATGTCTAGGCCATGCTCGTGGCTGGGCCAAGGCCGAGATGTCTAGGCCACGCCCGTTGCTGGGCAACGGCCGAGATGTCTATGCCACACCCATGGCTGGGCCACGGCAAAAAGGGGTCTCCGCAAGTTGTTTTCCAACCCGCCTCCGTCATCCTAAAAAAGAAAAAAAAAGGAAGGTTGGTGCCGGTACCTGCTCCCACCCCAGCCCTCGGGAAAACAACCTGTAACGGTACTGGTACCTCCCGTTTATGCCAATTGTTGAACTGGAGGCAGTCAGAAGCATGAGTTTTTGTTGTTCTTTTGCAGTTTGTAACTGCTCTTCGCCCGGACCTGCAGTATGCAGTTATTTCTGCGAATTTGAAACTCTGCACCAGTCACAGGCGCAGTTGTCTCTCTTTTTTTTTCCCGAAGAGAAACAGCCCCTTTATATTCTGGGGGTACCGGGCTGGTTACTCGTCCGCAGCAAGCATAAGGAAAGCAAAAGATAATACATGAGCATCAATGAAACCAAGAGCTGCTTGAAATGAGCAGCGGGAGACGAGCTGAAGTACCCAGTCCTACCCAACTACCGTCTTCCCCCAAACATAACGCACCCTGAAAATGAACGTATGCAAGGCATGTTTCCGGCCCGATACAGTCAAAATGAGGGTGCGTTGTGTTCGGGGGAAGACGGTAGGAGTGGCAAGAAGTCCAGTACTTTCCTATTGCATTCCCAATCTATGTAGCTTTTTTTTTTTTTTTGGGGGGGGGGGGACAAATGCTCCAATCTATTCGTGGGGAGCAACACGTTGTCGGGTAGTCTGCCGCTCGACGAGGCCCCTCCTCCTAGGTCTGTTGTGGACCTCCCCCCGCCTCTCTTTTCTCAACCGTTCTGCCAATGCCCCGCCAATCCCCACTCCAACGCTTGCCCCACTTAGTGTTTTTCCTAGGCTGAGTCTCGTTGATTTTGAGCACCTTGCCAGTTCTTCTTCAGACCACAGGACATAGACCGATTCTCGACCACTGTGAACTTTCAGAACCTTTTATGGTGTCACACCGAGCACAGATTATCCTTCCCAACGTACACAGAGCCTTGCCCGTTCTTCTTCAGTCCACAGAACATGACATAGACCGACCCTCGAC